GCAACAACTTATACGGCTTCTTTGGCAGCACTTTACAAAACCCGAACTTCTACCATGTCGGACAAGTCCTGCAAGCACTTGGGAACACCATTCCTTCCATGTTCCTCTCAGGCAAATGCACACTGTCCCGACTTGGAAATATGTCACTGTTCCACCATTGTCATTGGATGAAAATTCTTGAACTCTAGAGTTGTTGAGGATTCCTTCACTATGTGAATGGCAGCTATGTTCAACAAGATAATATTCACCTTCTCCAGGACCATTAGAGATGGGTAATGAATGTTCGCCATGCTAGCAATGCCCATATGCTACGAGTGATGTTTTTTAAAGTGGTACTCAAAGACTAACTTGATTAAAAGGACAAGCTTGCATGTTGCCAAAAAAAGCAAACATGAGGATCAGGAGGATTTTAAAAATCAACAAAACGTTGGTAGAGGGTGAAAACAGAATGTGAATGGACGCACAATGTACACATTGTAAGACCTTTTAACAAGTGTGTAATAAAGAAGTGATTAGTTAAAGTAAACTTTGGATGCCTTAGAAACAGGGAAATACTGTCAAAAGGAAATGGAAGACATGTTAAACAAACATTTTGTGTTTGCCTTCACAGTGAAGGGTACAAAGAACAAACCATAAAGTGTAAGGAACCAAGACGGTCGAGGGAGTCAGATTGCATGTGCTTTCAGACTGGTAGGGAAAGGGCAGAATCTTATCATAAAGAACATGGTATCAGAGCGCTTAGAAATTCACTGCAATTAGGCACTGTCAAAATACAGTTGACAACTTTAACAAATGTATTAATGATCCTCAGGGTGTAACTATCCAAATAGATAAAGGGATGTATTTGGGTTTTCAGAAGGCATTGATAAGGTGCTACACAGAAGGTTGTGAGGGCATCAAGTGTAATGCATTCATGTTTTTTACTAGAACAAAACTATAGAGTCATGGAAACAGACCTTTCAATCCAACTCCGTACCTGCATTATCTTGTGCCCATCACAAAATACTTAGCACTGTTGGCACCTTTGGCAGTTTGCGTTGATGGTTCCACTTTAAGCCCGGCTATGCACCAGGTTAAACACTGCCAGCCAGGAGTAGTTCTTCACAGTACATGTAGTGAGAGGGAAACAAAAAAGAGCAGCTTGTGAGGGCACGTAGGTGGTATAGATGACAGTTCATTGCAAATAGATGCTCATGATCACAAATGTACAGGGCGTTCCCGATTTACAAACTCTTGTACTTCCGAACATAATATCATACAGGTGTGTCATTTTAGCGACCTGATATACGAGCACTTCCTGTACTTATAAACAACTTCTTTACATTGTCCAATATTGTGTTCCGACTTGCATACAAATCAACATGTGACCGGACTCTAACGGAACCCATTTGTAACCTAGGGACTGCCTGTATTATTATTTTATGTCGGCATCTGTCCGATCAACTATCATTGTAACACCAGCTACAAGTATCAAGTTATATAGGGTACCCATCCTTAGCGCCATACCATGTTAGAACATGTAAGCAGTCTAAAGGAGTGCGACTGTTTTCCTGTCGCCCAACATAACCTAACATCTTGTTATTGTTCATTCGTGGAGCGTCACACATTGGAAAGCTTTCGAACAACTGAAAATGTTAACTTTTATTGAACAAACAACAAAAGCGAAAAAAAACAGATAAAAAAGCTGCATTTACTTCTTGGAACAAATGTTTGCTGCTTGCCCTTCAAACAACAATAAATTTGCAGGAAGTGAATAATCATTTCACCTACTCGTATCTATTAGAATTGGGTGTCACTTAAAACCTACCTAGCTTGTTGCACTTGATGCAGCACTGCTCTGTAATGCTGAAGGTGGTGTGCAGAAGGAACAATGCTGTGTTCAGAAGACTGTTACTTCTCTCCCAGCTTTTCCGTATCCATTTTATCCCCTTTTTGCCCAGTGCAGAGCACAAAATGCAAGGATTACGTACACTCTTGACTGGACTGTACTGCAAAGCCCCCAATAACTGATCCAAGTGCCAGAACTTCATCTTCAAGGTGTGTCATCTACTTCATGAAAGCCTTAGTGGAAGAATGGGTGCCATTATACCTCTGCTAGGCCTCAGGGAGATATTTAATGGAGTCATTATCCAGGGTTGCAGAGGGTAACCCTGGTCTCCAAGCAGCCATCCATACAGTCATTGAAACAAAGCAGAAACCTAACAGTTATCAAGGAAATAGGTATCACTGTTGCTTCCAGTGTGATTTGCACACATCTCTATGATGATTAAAGGCATCAAGAATTATGGAGAGGAAACATTGGCTAAGGCACTGAGATAGAGGATAAGCTGTGACTCTATTAAATGATCTACTCCTAATCCTAGTTTCTGTATCTCTATAACTTTTGTGTTGATGGAATGGAAGCCTTTTCTGTTGATGTAGTCAGCTGTGATATGATATGGCGCTGTCAATACAACATGCAGGGGAAACCAGCTATGTTGACAAAGCTTAATGTCCAGGCTGCAGCACTGATCTTGTCACGGGGAAACATTTGAAAGCGGTGCGATCTGTCACAAATTGAATCAGTAGAGGCCTTGATATATTTGAGCGTTGAGGATTGAGAGATCCCACATAGGTCCCCAGTGAATCCTTGGAAGCAACCAGTTGCATTAAAATTTAACACAGCTATAACCTTGGTGGCCACCAACCCTTCAAGTTGCAAGTCCCGCTTCAACAGACGGCATAGTTTTCAGATGGTGTCCCGGGAGATTTTCAGACTGTGGCGGCAATGTGCCTTGCTTATCTGGAGGAAATGGCATCGAGGATGATAAACACTCAACCATCTGTACTTCTTCCACATCCTGAGGAGACCTTAAGCTGTGACCTCATGAGGTGCAGGCAGTTCATCAGTCTCTGTAGGTTGCTGCTGGTCCTAGACATGTTGGTGCATCTGATCCTCCTTGATTTCTCTGCATCTTTGATGCATCATGGCCTCTGCAACAATTGCCATTACTGTGGCTGGATCCTGTGTTGGTCATGTTTCATTGAACCTCTGTGGGGAATATTTGAATCAAAACAGGTCTGCAGAGACTGCGAGAAACACTACATCGAACAAACAGGAAGGAAACTAGCAACTAGAGTACATGAACACCAACTGGCTACAAAAAGACATGACCAATACTCACTCATCTCAATCCACATGGACAAGGAGAACTATGACTTCGACTGGGACAACACCAAGATCCTGGGACAGGCTAGGCAGAGACAAGCACGAGAATTCCTGGAAGCATGGCACTCCATGAAGCATGCTATTAACAAACACATTGAACTCGACCCCATATACATGCCACTACGAAGGAAAACCGGAAGTGAGGCAATCCATCTCAACAGACCCCAGAGTTTAAAAACCAGGCGGGAAGACACACTGACGCTTCATTGGAGGCTGCACTGAGGATGTTACCAAGCATGGTAACGAAACGTCTGCGAAACAACAAACCAGCTCAGCGAGCCAACCAACCTCAACTCTGTTAACCCCATCACAAGCGTGAGCTTCCACATGTTCCCAACAGACTTTCATTTACATCTTCCATATTACCTCCTGAGCCCTGGGCCCAACAGCTTAGCCACGCCAGATCAAAGTAACGTGCTATCTCTCTTTCCGATTCCCGCAGCAAGGTCACAGTGTGGCGCTCCGTACCCTCCACACCTGCAATAATCCATCTACTATTGTCTGTCCAGCCCAAACCCCCCCACCCCAAAAATATGTCAAGTTCCCTCCCTTCATAATTTTTCCCCCTCTGCATCCTAGCATGCTGCTTCCAATTCCCACAGTTGACTTCCCCAATTCCTTATCACAATAGTGGCCCTTGATGATAATCCCCTTTCACTTTCGGTTAGCAGACCCCCATGATTGGCTGTGGCCCACCCTCTGGAACAACGGAAGGACAGCCCTGACTGATGTGTTACTGGACCACTGACTTTTATCTGTGCAGCTCCCTGACTGAATTCCCATGAATCCCTGTACTAGTTGCACTCGACCTACAGGACTGACTGTGGCCCACTCCCCCAAAAAAAGTGATATGGAACTCCTGACCTCACTGGTGGTATTTTTAAGGAGAGCATTGCAGAAGGCAATCGATTTTTTAACAGCTCTAAACTATTTCCCTTCTTTAGGAGGAAGTGTTTTACACATCTAGCTTTAGCCAAGATTTTTGCAAACCTGAAACCAAAGTGGCTTTCTTCAAGATATTGGTGTTTCCCTGAAGCCAAAACAAAATCCACTTGTGGATGCTCCTATCTGAAACCTAATGCACAAATGTTTGTTCGCTTGTAAAACTCTACCCAAAGAAAGCAAAACCTTAAATACACTTAAGGAAGTCGATCTCATTTACTGTGCAAGTCAGTTACTAAACCCTTTCTTGGATGCAGACTGTATAGGAATATATATACAAATCACATACCTTACGTCATCAATGCTGGACTGTGTGCCATTGTGCAGATGTCGATCTGAGCATATCACTAGTCACCCAAATTAATGTGCTGAGGACAGTGACCAAGTATTTTGTGTAGCTCCTATCTACCTGCACACGGGAACAGTGTTCTACTGAAGAGTACATGAGAAGAATCCTAACAGTAATAAGCGTGCATGCGTGCATGGATCCCAGTTGTAGCTGCTAGTTTCTGAATAGTGTTTACTCTTGTGTTTTTTGGTCTTTTGGGAAACCCTTTTACAGGTGTTTGTGGTTTTTGGGGTTGCAATCCGGGTTGACTCCAAGCCACCTGGGCATGTTCATTCCTGATTGATCTGCTGCAAGAAAGGATCTGAAATTTGCTGATAGCTACTGAGTTGCTGATGTGGAAATTAATGATTGTACTCCTAGTTTAGTTTGGGTGGAGATGCCAGTATTTCACATATTGCTTTAGAAATGATGTTGCTGAGTTCTGCTTTTTTGGCTGTTCTCCCTTCACATGTTAGTAGCTTGAACATTGTATACTGTTCTATACCTTTTTGTGTCTTTCAGGTGATACTGGGCAAGGTATAAGAGCATGGATAAAAGATGTACTGAATCAAGATCTGATATTTCAGCACATACGTGTAATTTATCCAACAGCGCCTTTAAGGTATTTAAAAATACATGAAAATAGATGTTCAATGCAAGCTTGTTTAAAATTCAATAAGGATGAATTCTCTCAACCAGAGTTGAAAATAAAAGAAATAACATTTTGTTTATGAGGGAGACTGAGTTATAAACACTTCTGTTTTATCGGAATCATAGTAAATTCACAAGATTATCAGGACCGTTTTTTGACCTCTCCCTTCAACAGCTATTTTGAGAATAAATATTCAACTAGATAAAGTTTCAAATATTCAACCTTTTGGAGTCTTCTGAAATCTGCTATAGAAATGCTTATTTAAAGATTCTAGTGGATTCCCATGCATTTCTCACAGGGAGTTGCAGCCTATATTCTCTGTACTTCTGATTCTCTCCAGTTCCAATCTGACTTGGTCTCTCTTGCTTTTACTTTGTTTCTTCAAATGCATGTCTTTTGACCTTGCTGTTCCTCTGTTTTTTTTTTGGTTGGAATTGGTTTGCCTCCCAAAATCCTTCCATTTCTACCCTTTACCTTCAGCCACTTTGTTCCCTTTACAAATTCAATTATACTGAATAAAAACCGAAAGAACTGCGGATGCTGTAAATTAGGAACAATAACAAAGTTGCTGGAAAAGCTCAGCAGGTCTGGCAGCATCTGTGAAGATAAAATCAGAGTTAACGTTTTGGGTCCTCAGAAGGAAGGGTCACTGGACCGGAAATGTTAACTCTGATTTTTTCTACACAGATGTTGCCGGACCTGCTGAGCTTTTCCAGCAACTTTGTTTTTGTTCAATTATACTGAAGTTAGAATCAAAAAGAAGAGGAAGCCTGCCCCACTGTTACCATCTGTAACACTCCCACTTTCCATACTCTCTCTTTATTTTGAGTCCCTCATGATTCTTTCCTCCCTATTCCACCCCCAGCACTCACCACTACCTTACATCTGTTAATCTCATAATGTGTCTACTCACCTTCCCTCACACTTGCCGTTCCTAAAATTCCTTTTCTCAACCTCTTGCCCCTCCCCAACTTTAGCACCTCAGTTGCAACCCCGCCCATCTGCTTGCAAGCCATCACTCTGAATCCTTTGCTCATTTGCCTCAAATCACTCATCTCTATTTTTCATTCTCCACCCATTGCTTGCCTTTCCATTATTTATCCCCTATCACTTACTCCTGTGTTATTTCTTGCTTCCCCTCTTCCTGCACAGCACTGCTCTCTGTAATTTATTTTGCTGTTCACACACCTCCATTCGTTGACATGCCAGTTGATGTGTGTGGAGTTTTCCAGCAGCCACACAGCTTAGAGGAGGCATTGCCCCACACTGTTTGCTCAGCCTAACTCCTGTTGCCCATTCAGCCCCAGTCATTTACCAATGCCGCATCATTTATTGTAACCTCTGTCATTTGCCCCCACTGATGCTTACTCACCTGCTACCACGTCGCTTACTCACCCAAATGCCTCCATTTGCTCACTCACACTCGTCCCTGTTGCTCCTCTGCCTAAACAACCCTCTCCTTCCCTCACCTGCTGCATCTCCTTTTGGTCACTGGGGACCCCTTTCACATGACCTTGTCAGCTACGTGTCTCTATCTCCCCTCCGCACCCCCCTCCCATTATCCGCTCACCATCCCATTGCTCATCCGCACACCCCCGTATCATTCCCCCCTCACTCTCTTTATGTATTGCTACCCCAACCACCATTAGTTGCCATCCTCCTACCTTATTGCAGTTGCTTGCCCCACTTCTTAGCTCTGTGCTCTCTTTCTTTTTCAGACTCTTTTCCTTGAAACAGTAGAATGGGAGCAGGAAACAGTTGGTTCACAGTAACAGGCTAGTTTAGATTTATACATTCAACACACCCAATATAATCAGTTACACAAACAAAAGTTGCTGGAAAAGCTCAGCAGGTCTGGCAGCATCTGTGAAGACAAATCAGAGTTAACATTTTGGGTCCAGTGACCCTTCCTCAGAACTGATGGTAGCAAGGAAAATGTCAGTTTATATGCAGAAGATTAGTTAGTTTTAGGGTTAATGTGTTTATAATACTGTTAAAAGTAAACACAGATGTCAGCTTTGTAAAGATTTATATTTATGTTTTCATACCAATTTGTAAAACATGGCTGGTTTTTCTTTTTCACATTTTGCATTGTTTTTGAAGTCTTCGATTTAGGTAGTGATTCTTGCACCTTTACTAACCTAAATTTGCTTTGTGCTTGTAACTTATTTTTATTTTCATTTTTTCAGGTCCTATACACCAATGAAGCAATCTATGTCAAATGTGTGGTTTGACAGGTACAAAATTTCCATAAACTGCCCAGAACATCTTGAATCAATCGATTCAATGTGCCACGTATTAGGTAGCTTTGTGGATGAAGAGGTGAATGCTGGAGTTGCAAAGGACAGAATAATCTTAGGTAAAATATGTTATCAGTTTTCCTAGCATTTTAAAAAAAATGTGCAGTAATCTGAGAATCTACCTTTCCTTTCCATTCCTGTTTCCTGTCTGCTATCCTTCTATCAAACATTTTTATCCTGGCGCGGTCACTGGATTTTATCACAGGTTCACCGTTTAAAAATAAAGATGCACATGGTTGATCGTATCCCTTTGCACTTAGAACCATGGTCATATCATTTAGTTTTTGTAGCCAATCAATTTTTTAATCTCCTGAGCAAAGAAGATTGTTGTACTTTAGAAAATATGTGTACTTGTCTAATCATTCTCCTTCTAACATGATTTCTTTTCTGATACTGAGGAAACCTAATACCATTATTTCAACTCTGGTGAGAGAAAATACACCACTTCAGTGGATTGGTAAATCTGGCACTGCTGTAATTTTACTCAAATGGATCTAGTGGTTTTTAACATACATAGCAAGTGATAAATTAAACCAAGTGTAATATGCTTTTGATTTTGTCTTTTAGTTTGCTGTCAGACAGACCAAAAACTAACCACCAGCCAGATACAACCTTTAACATGACCAACATTTGCCAGAAATTATTTTGGCAGATGTATATTCTTGTTTATTATCCATACTGACAAATATAACTGGTATTACTTCTATGATGTATTTGATTTTTCTTGCCGTCCGTCGCTGTTGAAAAGTTACAGCTGATATTTGGAATAAAACTATTAGTAAATTGGCTAAGAGGAAACAAGAATAAAGAAGTAGATAGCTTAATTCTCCATTAGCTGTTGTAGATACTAACATTTTCCTGCAGCAATAACTTTTTAGTATAAATCTTTAGCACTGCAAGCAGCATTATTGATATCAGAGTTAGCTAATTTATAAGAGTCTGGAAGTTGAAGCACCTACCAACCTCTCAGCATAGCTTTCTTTGTTCTCATCCAGCACAGTGCGCTCCTACATCATTGCTAAAATTGAGTCAATGTAACTTCAGAATGGCTATCTGTAATCAGGTCTGAGACTCATTAGTTCCCAGCTGTACATTTGTGCTGCAATTAAAACTGTACTATTTATACACACTTTTGGAGAAACCACAGTACCATGGACATTGGAAAGATATAATCACTGTGTAGGAGGTGAAAACATATCCCACTGGTTATGTTTTCTCTGATTCAAACATTCTGCACAGATGCTAGGCTGTGAAACTTAGATGTTCACTGAAATGTCAAACGAGTTGACATACTATTGCCAGGGACAATGCATTATAAGCCTGGATCACTTCTGGACATGTGAAATTTGTAACTTCTAGCATTGTTTTTAAAACAGGGCTGATACAGAAGCCAAGAATCTTTTTTTTAATTCTGTCGTGGGATGTGGGCGTCACTGGCTGGCCAGCATTTATTGCCTGACCCTAGTTGCCCTTGAGAAGGTGGTGGTGAACTGCTGAATTGAGCTGCTGCAGTCCACCTGCTGTAGGTTGATCCACAATGCCATTAGGGAGAGAATTCCAGGATTTTGACCCAGCGACAGTGAAGGAATGACAATATAGTTCCAAGTCAGGATGGTGAGTGGCTTGGAGGGGAACTTGGATGTGGTTACGTTCCCATACTTCTGCTGCCCTTGTCTTTCTGGATGGAAGTGGCCGTGTGTTTGAAAGGTGCTATCTGAGGACCTTTAGTGAATTCCGGCAGTGCATCTTGTAAATAGTATGCACTGCTGCTACTGAGCGTTGGTGATGGAGGGATTGGATGCCCATGCAATCAAGCGGGCTGCTTTGTCCTCGATGGTGTCAAGCTTCTTGAGCGTTATTGGGGCTGCACTCATTCAGGCGAGTGGGCAGTATTCCATCACACTCCTGACTTGTGCCGTGTAGGTGGTGGACAGGCTTTGGTGGGGGGTGGTCAGGAGGTGAGTTACTCACCACAGTATTCCTAGCCTCCAACCTGCTCTTGTACCCACTGTGTTTATGTGGTGAGTTTCTGGTCAATGATAACCCCCAGGATGTTGATAGTGTGGGATTCAGTGATGGTAACACCATTGACTGTCAAGGGGCAGAAGTTAGATTATCTCTTATTGGTGGTGGTCATTGTCTGGCATTTATGTGTCAGGAATGTTACTCGCCGCTTGTCAGCCCAAGCCTGGATATCGTCCAGATCTTGGTGCATTTGAACATGAACTGCTTCAGTATCTGAAAAGTCACGAAGGTTGCAAACATCGGCTAACATCCCCACTTTTGACTTTATGCTGGAGGGAAGGTCATTGACGAAGCAGCTGAAAATCATTGGGCCTAGGACACCATCCTGAGGAACTCCTGCAGAGATGTCCTGGAGCTGAGGTGACTGACCTCCAACAACCCATACCTGACACTCTGTGTAGGTATGACTCCGACCACCAGACAGTTTGCCCCCTGATACCCATTGATTCTAGTTTTGCTGGGACTCCTAGATGCCACACTCAGTCGAATGCAGCCTTGATGTCAGAGGCTGTCACTCTTGCCTCACCTCTGGAATTCTGTTTTGTCCATGTTTGAACAAGGCTGCAATGAGGTCAGAAGCTGAGTGGCCCTGCTAAAACCCAAACTGGGTATCACTGAGCAGGTTATTGCTGAGCAGATGCTGTTTGATTGCACTATTGATGACATCTTCCATCACTTTACTAATGATTGGGAGTAGACTGATAGGGCAGTAATTGGACAGTTTGGATCTGTCCTGCTTTTTATGTACTGGACATAGTTGTGCAATTTTCCACATTGTCAGGCATATGCTAGTGTTGTAACTGAACTGGAACAGCTTGGCTATGTGAGCAGCAAGTTCTGGAGCACAAGTCTTCAGTAATATTGTCAGAATCCTGTCAGGGCTTGTAGCCTTTGCAGTATCCAGTGTCTCCAACCATTTCTTGATACCACATGGAGTGAATCAAATTAGCTGAAGACTGATATCTGTAATACTAGGGACCACAGGAGGAGGCCAAGATAGATCTTCCACTTGGCACTTCTGGCTGAAGATTGCCGTGAAAGCTTTAGCCTTATCTTTTGCACTGATGTGCTGGTCTCTTCCATCATTGAGGATGGGGATATTTGCGGAGCCTTCTCATCCAGTGAGTCCAAAACAAAAATAAGAACTAAAAAAGATATACAGGTCAGTCTCTGAGTAATTGAAGAACAGTAGAAGGAAAAACATCGTGACCATCATGGTGGTTGTTATTGTTAACTTTGATGTTGGTATTTGAACAGTTAATGTTGAGATGGGAAGGCAATTGCCTTGGGGTGTTACTACTTGACTATTAATTCAGAAACTCAGCTAATGTTCTGGGGTCCCAGGTTCAAATCCGAATATGAATTCAAATAAAAAAAAGAATCTGGAATTAAGAATCTACTGATGACCATGAAATCATTGTTGATTGTTGGATAAACCCACCTGGTTCACTAATGTCCTTCAGCGAAGGAAATCTGCCATCCTCACGTGGCTTACATGGGACTCCAGACGTGCAGCAATGTGGTTGAGTCTCACCTGCCATCTGAAATGGCCTAGCAAGCCATTATGTTGTACCAATTGCAACAAAGAAATGAAACCAGATGGATCACCTGGCACTGACCTAGGCACCAGAAAAAACAACGGCAGAAACAGCCCTGTCGACCATTGTTCACAACATTTCTTTATATTCAGCAGAGGTTGAAGGTCATATCGCAAGCAGCTCTGCCTTTCCTGAGCTCATTTTGACTTTCTGGCAATACACATTCTACCAAGTGGCTTAACAGTCTGTTAGTTGGACTCTTCCTAGAATATTGTCAAACATCACAAACAATGAAATTCCTCCGTGGTTGTCTCACACATTTTTGTCCTTTGCCATTGTGCATCTGAATAATTGTGGCATCCTTAAATTCCTGGGGAATGGCTTGTTGATCCCACATTGTGATTTAATTGTGAGCATTTTTACTGGAGAGCTGGGCTCCTCTAGATTTGAAAATTTCTCGGCAAGGACTCCATCTGAGCTTGGAGTCCTCACTGAGAGTAGGAATTAGATGGCTCTGTCAACATAACAGAAGGTTTCTTTCCTAGGTTGTTGATGCTTGGGTCTGTCTGGAAACTTGGCTGTAGCCACCCCATTTACACTGCATGGGTGGTGAAGCTTCATGTAATAGAAAAGTAAAATACTGTAGATGTTGTATATCTGAAATGAAAACACATGCTAGAGATATTCAGGAGGGTTGTGACTACAGCAGACAAACAATTAATGTAAAAGTCCTTTCACCCAAGTAGTTTCAGATATTCAGAATTGCACGTTTTAAGAACTTCCACATTGATCAATTCAAATGCATCTGAAAATTGACTGGTTTGAATCTATAGACTGAGAATGAAATGTGGATATGATCAAGAATACAATCACTGACAGGACAGATCAAATTATCAAACTAATTTTATGGAGGTATGATGACAGAAGTTCACGTGGCTATTTAAGGTTGATTGTATGAGAATAATATGAAAAGAAATATACTGAGAAGTAGTTTAGGAATTGAGTTGTATACGTTCAACAGTGTATAGATATTTGCTTAAATACTTTTAAGTATTTATGTATTAATAATTCATTAAATCTATTAGAATTGGTGAAAAGTATAAGTAACACAAGTTGTCTGTAGACTTGTGCTTTAATTGGTCCTTGTTCTTGGATTTTATGTTCCAGCATCGTAATAGTGGCATTTAGCAAATGAACATTTTATGTGCAATTTCTCTGATGTAACATCAATGTTCTATTTCATTGATTCTATAAATGGTTGGGTAGCGTTCACAATCAACGAAGTTTAAATTTAGTGGTTTTCCATAAAAATAAACTGTTCTCATGCTTCTGAGCATAAAGTATGATGATCATGAATCAGTTACGCCATTAAATCTGTGTAATATTTTGGATTATTTAATGAATCATTGAGTATACGTGTACATAAAAAGGATGTTTCCCTTTAAGGGCCCATGCATTTTGAAATAATATATTACTGAATGAAGACAGAAAGGAAC